ATGTGGTAAACATGATTCCCAAAATTGGTTTGAAGCCATATAATGTTTGCACTCATTTATTGCAATGGTTTTAACCTGGGTTGTTTGATTTTAGTATCGGTGATAGTACAAATAGCTATTTTGAAGAAAACAACACATCATAAAAGCTAGTGCTGATTCAATATCATCTTGTTTTGAAGTCCCATCAAGCTGTTGTACATCTGTTTCCACTGGTTTTAACATGTTGTATCTTACTATACTTTACTATATGTGATAGTATAAATAAAATTGTTTATAGGCAAAGAGATAATATAGAAACTGTTGTTCGTTTTCTGTTAACTGGTTCTAAATACTCTGTAATTCTTTCATTCTCTTGAATGTCTTCACACTGTCTTGATACACTTGATGCTATAGTATACAAAGTTATACTCAAATATTTCAAGGAAAGAGACACTATGGTAGCCTACTATTATGTTAGATTATCTGGTGGTGAAACACAATGATGCTTAAATTGTTCAGTTCTGACCTGCGTTGTTCTGTTACAATGTCCTCTTTTATCTCAATCTCCCCCCTTTTTTAATTAATCTATCTTTTCTCATTTTTTTAACTAAGGAAAAACTAAATTAAAAAATAGCAGGATATATTATGTAAATTTTGTTTTCCTATTAACCTGATTTGAACCCCAGTATTGCTCTCCCCATCTTGTTCTGTCTGATTATACTATATTCTATTTTGTTTGATAGTATCAAGTTTCAGGGTATAGGCAACCACTTTGAAGGCAATAAGATTTACTATGATGCCCATTATGGTTTGACTATTATCTTCTTTTGAAGTCCTGTAAGGTCTCCAATGTAGGTTTTTTTGGTCTTGTTCTGTACTGTTTTGATCAGTTCTATTATACCTGTCATATAGGCAATTCTTTTTAAAAATAGCAAGAGGCACAATGGTAACCATTTTTGATCACCTGATATTCTATTTTTGCATCATGTACTATGCCCACCCTTCTATTCTAACCAACTCTGTTTTGTTTAGTCATGTTAGGTTTTATTCTCTTCAAAAAAAGTAATAAGAACTGTGTAATTGTTATTGTAAAAAAGAGAGGAAAGGAAGGTGGTCTAAGGGATATAACTGCATGTATGTTTGAGTGTGTAGGATGGAAAACCATATTGCTGAGCTTTTGTTGGATCATTGAATGGAACTGTCTGCAATCTCACTGTATGAATGTCTACTTTATAGGCTTTAATTTTGTAATTTGGACGACTGTTTCTAAGAATACAATATGTAACCTATTAACTAGCGATTTCTTAATGTGTATTTTTTTTCTTGAAATTCTGTATTATTTGTACCCTTTTACTGCTTTGTCTTTTTATTTCCTTTCTTTTTACTCTTTAAATTAAAAAAGAAAGAAATGATGGTGATAATGACTCCATTGGCTTGAGGGACACCTGGCAGATTAGTAAAGCCCACTTCCACCAGGGACGGGCCAGGGGCTCTAACCCTGGGAGCAACACCGGGTCCCTGGCCGCTTCCCATGTGGCTCTTCCACGCTCACGGCTTCCTGACCACCCTGAAGTGAGGACTTTCCTCACCGTGCCTTTCCCCCACACCCAGCCGACTACAGACTGAGTCCTCTGAAACCAGGAGCCACAATAAGCCCTCCCACTTTTAAGTTATGTACGTCAGCAACTTCAGCAACAGAAAGCTGCTACATGCTGTATTATTGTATTTTAACTTCAAATATCAACCCAAATCTATAATTTTTTATCAGCTACCTTCCTGTCTGCCCACCAAAAGGGTCAAAAAGCAATGACCGTCCAGCTACAACAAGAACATCCAGCCCCTGGATCTTGGTGGCTAATTCTCTCCTAATATATATACTAGAATTTCTTTAAATAAAAAACAGGTGATGGACAAGCTAAGCCAAGGGCACCTTGCTGTGTCAAAAAAGAAAGAAAGAAACCAATGTGTCCAAGGGAGCCAGAAGCCAGCCAGAAGGGGCCTCCATGACCTTTGAAATAAATGTGAACCTCAGAGAGAAAAATGGCTGCCTTTGCTGTAATGTACTGAAAAACAAATACCCATGAACCAGAATGAAATCCATGCAAGAAAAATAAGGAAAATAAGAAAAATGAAGTTCTCATTTCATAATAAAGCAAAACTGATAATAGATACCAGAAAACACATTGTTACACCCAATTGTAAGTTCTGATTACCTGGATCATCAATAGATGCTAAAACCATTAAGTAGAAAGTCTGCACACAGGCTGCTTACAAACTGCAGAGGAAAATGACCGCTTCCTAACAGTCTACCAGGCATCACCACCTGAACCAAGGGGCTCACCTTGGGTCGTGCACATCTCAGACAGGATCCGGTATAAAGCGTGTGTGTGGGAGACTCCCAGATGGCTTACGCTGAATCTAACAAAGCCTCGAGGCCTAACTTTAGATTCACAGACAGGAAGGAACTAGCACATTTTCAATAACACTGTGAGAATGTAATTGAGGAAATTCAGAATTTGGAACATTTCACATGACAACTGGCTTAGATTCTTCAAAATTCAATGCAAAAAAATGAATAAATATTCTAGATTAAGAGACACTGGATCTCTACAACAATCAAAAGCAATGTGCAGGGGCTGAGGATTTAGCTCAGTGGCATTAGCGCCTGCCTTGCAAGTGCGCGGCCGTGAGTTCGATCCCCCGGTACCGATTAAAAAAAAAAAAAAAAAAAAAAGCAATGTGCAAACCTTGATTGTATCCCAAGTTAAAAATAAAGACACAAATTTCACTTCAGGGACAATTAGAGAAATTTGATCATGAATTAACAAATGTAAGCATCAAATTATAGATAACAGCATTATGTATTTATAGGAGAATATGATTATTAAAGTGATATATACTGATGCAGAGATGAGTGATTTACTTTCAAATGATTCTATCAAACATTAGACAGTGTTATGGCTTATGTCTAGATGTCCCCCCCAAAGCCTCATACACTCGTAGCTGGGGTTTCTCAGAAGTGGTTGGATCTAGGATAGTGAATGTGGAGTAAGGCTGTATTAATTGGATGAGTCCACCAATTGGCTTAGTATTGTTCTGGTTGTGGATAATGGGAAGCCACACCCACAGGTGGCACCAACCAATAGGCTTATAGCCTAGATGGGATAAAAGGGAAAAGGAGGTTTGCTGCTGCTTCTCTGCTTGCTGCTTCCTGCCTGCCTGCCATGGACTGTTTCTCTTCTGCAATACCCCTCTGCCCTGCCAGCCTGCCTTGGAACTAGCCAATTATGGACTGAAATCTCTACAAACTGTGAGCTGAAATAAAACTTTCCTCCTTCACTTTGGGTGTTGGGTATTTTGTTTCACCAACACTAAAAGTAACTAAAACAACAAGGGTAAAGCTAATATGGGAAATATGAACCATTGTTAAATATGGGTAGAGAATATAGAGATGTTCCTTATACTATTCTTTCAATATTTCTGATGTTGAAATTTTTTTGAAATACATAAAATGAGAACAAAAGCAAGACTGGCTATGTGACTTTACCAAGGAGAAATATAAGCAATTCCCAATTGATCACTTCTTTTCTTTCTGTAATTGTAATGCATCCAACAAACACTGCGGGTGACTAAAAGTAGTTATATTTAGAAGGATGCAGGGTTTGCATCTTAATTACAAAGATTTCAGAAAAACTTATTAGTTTTGTCAAACAGTTCCCAAAGTTATATCGTTCAAGACATGTTTAGTTTTCTTTAAACTTGAGCTACTATAAATAACCCTTTCTTCACTGAATTAATAAAGCATTTGCTAAATGTTGAGATGTCATCTGCCTCTTGCCAGAATCAAACAGTCCATGGCAGGCAGGCAGGAAGCAGCAAGCAGTGACACGTTGGCTGCAAACCTCCTTTTCCCTTTTATCCCATCTAGGCTATAAGCCTATTGGTCGGTGCCACCTGTGGGTGTGGCTTCCCATTATCCACAACCAGAACAATACTAAGCCAATTGGTGGACTCATCCAATTATCACAGCCTTATTCCACATTCACTATCCTAGATCCAACCACTGCTGAGAAGCCCCAGCTATGAGTGTTTGAGGCTTTGGGGGGACATCTAGACATAAGCCGTAACACTATCTAATATTTGATAGAATCATTTGAAAGTAAATCACTCCTATCTGCATCAGTATGTATCACTTTAATAATCATATTTTCATAAGCTGTTCTCTAAATTAGTAAATTTGCCTAAGCAATTTGCAATTTCTGTAAATACCTGCTAAGGTCTGCTTACTGTGTTTACAGTGGAAAATCATTTTGACTCTACTAGAAGAGAAAGTATTCTTTCTATTCAGGTAAAACACAAGCATGTCCTCTGCTGCCTCAGTTTTCTTGATCTCCCTACTCTTTTTTTTTTTTTTTTGTCTTTTTCCTTTTTATCGGTACCAGGGATCGAACTCATGAGGCGCTTATGCTGCTGAGCTAAATCCCCAGCCCCGATCCCCCTACTCTTAACACTGAAAGAACTTGTATCATGCACAGGACACTGAAGTTTCTAATTCCACATTTTATGGATAAATACACAGATCTGGACAGCTTAAATGACCTGGGCAAGTCACATAACTGATGAATGCTAAATCAGCCTGGACCCAAGGTGTTTTATTCCTAGGACCAATGTGAGATTTCTGCTTAGTTCTTTTCTAGTGCTTACTTACTTAGTGAACCTGGACAAGCTCCTTCAGCTTTCTGGGCTCCAGGTGTGAGCATCACCATCCTCCACCCACATCTGACACTGAAGCACCAGCAAAGGGCTCTTCTCTGGAGCCCTAGACCACTGCCTGCTGGCAGCTCCCACCTCCTCCACATGCTGCCAGGGGTCCTCACCACCCGGCCAGGACTTCCTCCTCACACCCAGGGAGGGAGATGTGCTTAGAGGTCAGGCAAGGCCCGGACACCCACATACTGGAGAGAAGAAATTATTTGAAAATAAATGTGAGGTGTGGGGCTCCCCTGAGTTCTAAAGCCAGGATGACTTCTACACTGGCCCAGGGGCTGGGGCGAATCACAGACCAGCTGGGCTACCTGGTACTGAGTGAAGGTGCAGCACTGGCATCACCTGGGAATCTCAAGAGTGATGAACAGGCAGCCAGTGCCATCTCTGAGCTGGTCAGCACAGCTTGTGGCTTCCAGCTGCACCACGGCATGGATGTCCCCTTCAATCACCTGTCTGTGGTCTTTAGAGAACACACGCTGCTGGTGACTGTGTCAGGACAGAGTGGGTTTGTGGTGAAGAGGCAGAACTGAGGCCGGGAACGCACTGACATCTGAGCATGCCAGGTGGCCAGGTTGGAGCAGTGGACTGGGGCCCTGGGTCTCTGTGATGAGGAGGAGCATGTGTCTCCCACTCTTTGCTTGGCTGGCTGTTGGAACCAGGGCATTACCATTGTCCACCTTTACCTGAAGGGTAGAGACTTGGGGGTTTTGCACTATGTTAAGAACTTGAGCGAGGTGGCTCCCTTCTTCCCTTCCTTCTCCCCACAATAAACAAAAATGTGATGTGGAAAAAAAAAAAAGAAAAGAAATGTGAAGCCTGCATGTGTGTGAGACTGAAACTGAAAACCCCACCTGACTCAGATCTGCAGCCAGGATTCTGCTGAGACACCTCTCGCTAACTCTCCCTTCCAATCTCATCACCAGGAAGAAAGCAAATGACATCCTAGTTACCTCTCCGGGTTCTGGAGCCACTGTCCCGCACTGTCCTCCAAGATCAGGGCTTGCTAAGACCTCTCCCTATGGTTGTGACTACAGATTCTACACATTAACATGGAAATAGGGTAAAGAAAAGGAATATTTTATGCCCAAAATGTAATAACATAGATTAAAAAAATAAAAGTAGTGTGAAATACATAATAGATTATTTGAATATCCTTAAATCTTAATATAATTAAATTCATAGCTCATAATCCTACACCTGAAAAAGATACTCTTCCAGAAAATAGAAAAAAGGAACTCCCTCCCTAATCGTGCCATGATCCCAGTATTCATGTAATAGCAAAATCAGACAGTGATGGAGCAGAAAAAGACAGTCTAAAATATCCCTCGTGAATACACCCGCCAGAATAGCTGGAATTTAAAATTCCCATGCATTGCTGATGGCAGTATAAGATGTAAAACAACTCTGGAAAATAGTTTAGCAGTTTCTTTCAAAGTTAAATATGCATTTATTATACAACTTAGCAATTCCACTCTTAGATATTAAACCAGGAAACTAAAAATACTCACCTATCTAGAATTTTACTGAACATTTCAAGAACTAATATCAAAACTTCTTAAACTTGCCAAACATCTAAGAAGAGTAAATACTTCCGAGTTCATTTCACAAAGCTGTTAGTACCTTGGTGCTACAGCCAGATAAGGGACACTACAAGCAAGGAAATCACAGACGCCCAATGAAAAACCTGTAATGTTGAAATAATTTTCAACAAAGTTGCTAAGAGCACATAGTGTGGGGAAGACAGTCTCAGACATAGATAAAAACTATAAATGCAAAAATCCTCAACAAAATACTAGCAAATCATATTCAACAGCACATAAAGAGATCTTTCACCACAAGCGAGTTTTTTGAGACATTTGAGGACAGCTCAAAGTCTGCAAAGCTGTACATGTGAAACAACAAACTCTATACAATCATCTCAAGAGATACAATAGAGCCATGCGACAAAATGCTACATCTTCTAATGTAAAACAAAGCTTTAAAACAGCCACAGAAGGAAGGAACCTCCACCCAAGAAGGGCCACACAGGACAACCCCTGCCATCATCACGCTGGGGACATGGAAGGCAGATCCTGGAGATAAGGGATGAGACCAGGGCGCCACCTGCTGCTTCCACAACAGCACAGTCCTGGAAATCTGAATGCTTAGTTAATCCAGATTGGAAAGGATGAAAGTAAACATCCCTCTTTGCAGATGGCATGATCAGATGTATACAAAATTATAAAATCTCCACACCAAAAAACCTCATAAAACAAATAGACAAATTCAGAAAAGTTACAACACACAAAAGTAGCAGTAGCATTTCCATATGCTAACACTGAACTTCCTGAAAACAACCCCATTTGCAAATAGTATCTCTCCCTCCCAAAAAAACACATGGGAATAAATTAACCTAGGAGGTGAAAAACCTCTATCTTGAAAATCATTAACATTGTGTTATGGTTTGTGTTCAGATGCCCTCCCCCAAGCCTCATGCAATCATGGACGCAGCTGAGCCCAGTGTTTGTGATTGGTTCATTGTGTAGCACTGGGATTGGTGGTGTGCCTGCCATACTCACCCAGGGGCAGAGGTGACATACAGTGTACGGGAGGAAGAAGGCGTGTCATTCATGTCTTTTCTCTTACTGCATGGTTTGCTCTTGCTGTTTGCAGTGACCATGAATGGTGGCCCACCATGCCTTCCTGCCTTAGAGCCAGCTGAGTAGGAACTGAAACCCCCCAAACTGTAAGAAATAAACCTGCCTTTCCCTAATTTGGGGCACCAGGTATTTTTTCTCAACAACAAGAAAAAAGTAACCAAGACACATTGGTAAGAGAAATCGAAGGTGACACAGGAACCACCAGTGTCTCCTGAGATTCGAGCCATGTTGGAACTTAGGACACTGGGAAACCAAGCAAGCAGCTTCCCTCCCTGGTAAGTGGCTGCGGTATGGCAGACTACAGCCCCTCCAGGGGGAGACCACCAGTGTCTTCTGAGATCCACACCATGTTAGAACTTACGAAGCTAGGAAACCAAGCAACCAGCCTGCCTCCCTGCTAAGCAATAGTGAACCTACTGGTGCACGGCCTACAGTCAAACATCCCAGTTCCCCTGCTTCCCTCTTTTCCTGTCCACCACCCCCCCCCCATTAGCAAATGGGAACCAGAAATCTGAGCATTCCTGGGAGGTTGACCATAGCAAACAAGGGGATTTCCTTCTACCATCTCGTTGAAGGCAAATATTTTATTACTGTTTTGCTCTTTTCTGATTAATGGTACTGCTCTATTCAATATTCTGTTTTGGTAAGTTCTTTAATGTTCTGTATTTCATTTTATTTTGATATACGTGATTGAAAGAACACCTATTATAAAGATAATGAAATATACTCTGATACCTATTACTGTTATCCCGGTAACCTGCTGTGAAGTTCTGTACCAATTTCACTGTATGATCTTAGTTGGCTTCATTCTGTCTTGTTCTGTTGTATTTTACTACTTTCAAAATCAAATTTAAAAAAAAAAAGAAGGTGACACAAACAGGTCAAAATACATCTCGTGTTCAGGGATTGGAAAAATTAGTACTGGGAAAATGTCTACACTACCCAAAACTTTGTATAGATTCAAAAAAATTCCTATCAAAATACCAGCAACATTCTGCACAGAACTCTTTTAAAACTCTTGATTTTTATGGAATCACAGAAGACTTAAAGTAGTCAAAGTAACCCTGAGCAGGAAAAAACAAAGCTGGAAGTTTCCCACTACAAAATTACAGTAAGCCAGGCAGCCGGTGCTGATATCAAAACAGGGCACAGAACAACGGGTGGGGCAGAAAGCCCAGGAGCTCATCTGTGCTTTTCACTGGCTTGGGCCCAGGTCCGGGTGCACATCGTGGAAAAAGACAGCTCTTCACGAGCGGCACTGGGGAGACCAGATAGACACAGCAGGAAAACGAAATTGTCACACACTATATCCGAAAACCAACTCAAAATGACTATGATCTTATTATTGCTGATACTGGGGATTGAACTCATGACCTCATGCTTGCCAGGCCGGTGCTATGCCCCTGAGCCATATCTCCAGTCCATGATTACAATCTTAAACCCATGACCGGACACCATGAAATTGCTAGAGAAATCCAGAGTCGAAGCTCCATGAGACAGTCTGATTTCCAGAACAGGATCCGAAGAATGCAGGTGACAAAAGCAGAAACGGACAGAGGATTCTGGACAAACTAAAAAGCTTCTGCCCATTCCAGGAGAACATGGCGGATAGTTAACAGCAACTACCGGAGGCTCTCTGAAAGACTCGGCTCAGAAATCAGGAATGAGGGGGCTGGGGATTTAGCTCAGTGGCATAAGCGCCTGCCTTGAAGGCAGGCAGTCGTGAGTTCGATCCCCGGTACCGATAAAAAGGAAAAAGACAAAAAAAAAAAAAAAAAAAAAGAAATCAGGAATGATGTGGACTAAGGAGACATGAGCCGGTAGAGATATGCTCTGCTGACTCAGGAATGAACTGGGCTGAGAGAAACCAACTTGGAATGCAGTCCTAGCGCTAAAATAGGAACAGAAAAGTCTCGGTGTGGAGGCTGGACCCCGTGCCATTGGAAACCGCAGTTTGGATTTCCCGCCGCTCGGCGGCTGACTGCCTCCACAGCGGCTCGGTAAGGAGAGACGCGCAGAAGCTCTGGGAACGGGAGTCTGCAAACGGAGTCGAAAACAGGATGGACAAGGAGGCGTACACTGACTGGTGGCGAGGTGAGTAAGAGAAACTGACACTCCACCACAGTTTGACTCCAGCGGAGGACTTTCTGGGCTCGGGCAGTCCTGTAAGAGCAGGGCGCGGTGGCGACTCCAGCCACATATTCCCCTCTCGGACGGGATTGGTGAAAAGTGCCTGGCCTGCATGACGCTGCGGGCAGACTTGGTAGGCTGGCCTAACCCTGATCCCAGAGCCTGATGGTGGCCCGGAGGGGTGACTCCCACGTAGGCTGCCTAGTCCATAACTCCCTGGTGCGCAGCGGTGGGTGGGAACACCTAGCCAGGCAATTTGATCAGGCTGTGGCTGACAGGCAGGGAAGCTGGGCCTCCTATGTAAGCTTGCATTTTATAAGGAATGGAGAAAATGGGGAAGGGAAGCAACAAGAAAGGCTCCTCGGCCCCCAATTCTGAGAAACAGGCAATAGCGGACACCGCACCAATAGACATTAAGCGCCATATAGAGAGCCTCATAGACCAATTCAGGAATGAAGTTATCAATGACCTGAAGCTAGAAGTATGCAGAATAGTTAGAGAAATGCTAAGCACCACCCAGGAAAAAACAGATGGTGGAATGGAAGAACAGAAAAAGAGGGGAGAATTGTTTGATGGAGAAAACAGAGAAAGCATAGAGTACGTGAAGCAGGTTCAAAGGGACTATCAAGAAATTAAGAAGTCTATCCAAGACTGGCATAACAGCTTGAAAGAAACTAAGGACAGACTATCTGAGCTGGAGGGCAGACTTGTAATATGGGAGAATGAAATGAAAAACTTCTTAAAAATAACAAAGAAACAAA